ATATATATATATATATATATATATATATATATATTTGCAGACCCACCCATAACTAGCAAGGCCAACCTTTCAAAATTAAACGAATATGTAAATAACCTCTTGCTCTCACCATATTACTCATGGGTATTATTGCCGTAGATTCAGGGCCTACTTTGATCGTTTGAAACTATCTGCCCTTTCGCAATATTTGTCTCTAGTAGTCTCCCTTTTCTACCATGAAAAGACGTGTTCCCCGCCGCATAGCCTATGCGATTTTTCACTCGCCGTCCCTAAAACGACAGTAACCAGACCACCCCCACCCCCAACTCGATACTTCGTTACGATGTTGCCATAGTGACCCCGGGCAAGTCACGTGTCATCGTGCGTGACTTGTCCGTTCAATCTCCTTCCGTTCTACAGCAACTCCGGACCCAAGTCGTGAGGTTACCATGCCAACTCCCAACCCCACACTGCAGCCTGACCTGAGAATGCGGTTGGGACGCCGCGGATCTGCCATACTGTTGCTAGACATCCCACTGAGCCGCGGGATACACTACTGTGCTGAGAACGACCTCCTTTCGAGGCTGCAGCAGCTTCCGCTTCCTTTCAGAGCCGCGGGGGGGTGATTAAGACTGTAACACCCCCGAGTTTAGGCGCTTTTGTTCCGGCCTATGAATCTACGCTTATGTTGACACTGGAAAGGCCTTGAAACTGAAAATTCTGGAGGAAGAGGAGGAGGAATGTTGTAGCTCTTTCTCGCTTGAGGAAATTATGCCGAGAGGGGGTGGGACTAATGAAACTAGATTGGAGGAGTAAATTGACGAGTCGACGCCTGCATTTCCCTGTAATCTTTCTTCTTGCTATTTCGTAAGTAAAACCTGCAAGAGGTTACTGAGAAATGTGAACTATTTCCCCACATGCATAGTTCCATGATCCGAGGAGGCGGCGGCGGCGGGCGGGTAGGGGAGAGGTTTAATTGCAATAACTGGCTTCTTATACATATACAAAGTTCGAGCTTTGAAAGAATCCCTGGCCTGGTTAAAAACTTCATTTGACTATTCGGAGACTATCCCATCTAGTAGCATTGTCTACTACAGACCTGCAGATCTGGGCTGCGAGAGTCCAACCATCATTTGATGGAAACCCAAAGGTGCCTTTTATCAAGAGGCAACTGGACTTTCTTTAAAGACGTTTCGCTTCTCATCCAAGAAGCTTCTTCAGCTCTGGCAGGCTAGTGGGGGGAAAAGTACCTTTGGGACAACCATGACCTGGATGACTGAGAATCTCCATAGACATTTGATGGAAACAAAAAAGAAATTTGGCTAAATCATTGCTGCCAACTAGTGGTTGTCTGGTTGTTTGTAGCCCTAATCAAATCTCAACCCCAACGTTTCTTCTCTCTGCTTTATCCTGAATTTTTGGTCATTTTGCCTGATCCCTTTTGGACATTAAAAAGCTTGTGATTTTGTGAATCTTCAATTGGTCTAATAAAAATGGTTTCAGTCCTTCCCTTCCCTAGCCCAATACAGGTAATTCTCAGCTTACAACAGTTCATTTAGTAACCTTTTAAAGTTACAATATCACTGAAAAAAGTGACTTATGACCATTTTTCACATTTATGACCATTGCAGCATTCTCATGGTCATGCGATCAAAATTTGGATGCTTGGTAACTGGTTCATATTTATGACAATTGCAGTGTCCCCCAGATCATGTGAATGCCTTTTGCAACCTTTTGACAAGCAAAGTCAATCGGGAAGCCAGTTTCACTTAACAACCAGGTTATTAACAACTGCAATAATTCACTTAACAACTGTGGCAAGCAAAGTTGTAAAATTGGGGAAAACTCACTTAACAAATGAGTTGACACCGAGCAACATAAATGTTGGACTCAATTATGATAGTCAAGAGTCTATTTGTACAGCTTTCTTATGGTGTAAGAAAGACACCACAAAGAACAATTAAGTGTTGTTTTAATGTCTAAAGAAGTAAACGTTTTGAAGGAAGAGCATGCTCAGCAGACCTTTCTGAAGTGCCCTAGGTATGCTTAAGCAAGATAGACTTGTAAAGATAACAAGTGGTGTGAAATCATTTGTGTGTGTGCTGCTGACAGCCTTCTCAAAAAGACTGGCATGATGTTATTCAGCAGCTTCCCAAATAGATGTTTTACATACAACATGGAAATATTTATGTTGCTTCAGCAGAGCAAATGTGGAGTACATGTTTGACTTGGTTTAGAAAGTAGCCATGAAGTAATCTATTTTGATACATTATTTTTGAAACAAAATTGATTGCTCAAAAAGAGATTGCAACTGACAAATGTCTTCTGTGTGTCTTTTATTTTGCAATTAAGGTAATGCAATTCAGGAGGCAGCAAGTACCCAGAAGCAACATACATCAGTCTGCCTTAGGAGATTCCTTATTCTAGAGATTTTGCAGTGGAGGTTCAATATTTTGTATGTGGATTTATTTTAACAATCAAGCTACATTTATGTTATGGCATTTCCAGAACCCAAACCCAAGAAACCTGAGCTTCCCCAAAAACTGCTTGCTACATTAGAATGTAAACAAGGAGCTATAAGAGCAGTGAGATTCAATGGTGAGTGTATTTCTGATTCCATAAAATAAAATAGCAGCTTTCAGTTATTAGAACTAGAGAAAATTCAGAAGCAAATTTGTGTAAAATTAATAGTGTATAACTGTAAGCTTTTAGTAACTTGTGAAGAGATCAAGAAAACAGTTGTAAGGATTATGAAAAGATAGCTAGTGAGAGATATGTATTGCTTGTTGGGTTAAAAAGTTTGAAATAATAGTAGAATTTGCATCATTCTAAGATAAATGAAACTGTCTTCCAGGGATTCCCTGGAATTTACTCAACATTAGATTTTTCTTTTTCTCAGTGGATGGAAATTACTGTATCACCTGTGGCAGTGACAAATCACTTAAGCTTTGGAATCCACACAAAGGGACTCTCCTCAAGACATATTGTGGCCATGGCTATGAAGTCCTAGATGCTGCAGGGTAGGAACTAAGGGAGGTGGATCCACTTTATTAAAAAATGCAACTATTTTGAAAATATTAAAATACTTTAAGAAAGTTTAAAATAACTGGATTAGGATGGGGAAGGAACTTTACAAAAATATTTTGAAAAATACAAATATGTAAAATTCCACAATGAAATAAAAATAAATGAAAATATTGACATAACTATAACGAACTTAACAAAACTAATTTATCTGAAAAAAATACTATGACATTAAAAAATTAATTACTTATGTAAAAGTATGTTTCTGTAAAGTTTGGGTAAGGAAAAAATGATACAGTTATTATCCAAGAAATTGTACTCATGTTCACATTTTAAAATCTTGTCCATTCATTTAAACCTTTTTTGCTGTTAAAATGACAGAAAACTTAAATTTAAAAAATTGAGAAGTTCAAAATATGTTCTACAGTCATACCTTGCAATGGAAAAGTTGCATATACTGTTTTTAAAAAGAAAAGGACTCTTTATTTAGATGTTAAGGAAAATTATTTCTCTTGCTTTTCCTATTCCCCTCTTTATCGATGTTTTCTTTAGGTCATTTGATAACAGCCAACTTTGTTCATGTGGAGCAGACAAAACAGTTGTGCTATGGGATGTTGCCACAGGCCAAGTAATTCGCAAGTTCCGGGGCCATGCAGGGGTAAGATGTATTTTGTCCTTTGGGGTACTTGGAAAATGAGAAGATTTATGTCTTTTTGAAATATGAATTCCTCTGACTTTCTACCTTAGAGGATAACCGTTATGTGTTCTGCTTCTGAGAGTCTCGGAATTCCTGTTTTTTTCTGGTTGACAAAAAACCCTTGTGAAATATAAAATGTTTACAATGGGAGATAAAAAGCTAGCTAGAACTCAGAATTGTCAGATAAGTCAGAAATGTTACTGAAGATATGGATAATGAAAACAAGATTATAGAAACAGGGAATTGTAATTCTTAGATGAAAAAATACAAGACACTAGTTGATTTGCTGAATTAGGAATTTTGGTCTTGTACATGAGACATGGGTGAGAAAGACTATGTCTCATACTGAATTTGCTTAGAATATCTTCCCCAATAGCTTCCGTATTTCAACATATTCTTCCAAAGAAACTTTACAAGAAAGAGGAACCTTTATAAAGTGCAATCATTTGCTTGTTCAGCAGTTATGCATACTATAAACTGCTTATATATGTACTTATATGGGCTGTTATGCAATGAACTAATGCTGTAAAGCAGGGGTCCCCAACCGCCGGTCCGCGGACCGGTACCGGGCCGCGGAACAACCCTTACCGGGCCGCTGGTTGCTGGGCGCCACCATCTTTTTTTTGGTAAAAAAGCGCTTCTGGTGAGCTTTTCCGGGTAGAAAGCTCACCGGAAGCGCCTTTTCGTCATAAAAAGATGGCGGCACCCAGTTGACGCCGGTACCGGGCCGCGGCGCCCAGCTGATGTCGGAACCGGGCCGCGGCGTCGAAAAGGTTGGGGATCCCTGCTGTAAAGTATTAGCCTCAGCATGGTCAACATGAGGCAGTGTCAACATGAACTCTTTTCACAAGTAGCTTCAGTGTTCTTACATTTTTTGAGGGGATGTTGGGTTTAAGATAATTGAGATTCTAAGTAAGGAATTGTGAGCTTAGTAGCACATTTGCTATGAGGCACATAGATATTGTCTTTGTCATGTGCCTCTAGAAGTATTTAGCCTGTTATAGTGTTTTGACTTGGGAATATTATTATGATAGCTTATTAACTGTTCTTTTCATAAGCACAGTTAAATGGAATGCTATTTTAATTTCTGCTCAGTATATTTGTGTTTGTATCTTATTGGAAAAATGTAAACACAATGAATATACCTATGCATAACTAATACTAAGGTCTCTGGTTGAGGATTATAGTGAGGGGCAATAAGTAGGAGTAATAAAAATGGTACTGTGGTATTGATGAAGAGAGTCGTTAAGGAAAAGTATAATGCCTAATAGTTATGAAACTACTAGGTTTGACTAGCTGTGGTGAGGGATGGAACTATGGCTGTAGAAACATTTGAAAGATGTGTTGGAAATAACATATCGATACATATGAACAAGGCATTTCTCCTTGAAATTGTTTCGGAGCACATACAGATAAAGTTCTGCTGGGTCTGTTGGCAAAGCAAAATAGCTCTGTATGATATGTATGCTGTGACAAACAAGAAAAGATGCTTAAGCAGTCATGGTGAGCTTCCTAGTGGATATGGTTGCTTTAGCCAGTTTGAGAAAGGATGCTTCACTCACGCTAACACATTTTGCCTTCAAATACTTTGCACAACTATAGATGAAATAGTAATGGAGATAAATGTATGGAATTCCAGCTACTGCCAAATTTGCATACAGTTTAGTGAGAACAATCAACCAGTGGAACAGCTTGCCCTCGGAAGTTGGGGGAGTGCCATCACTTGAGACTTTCAAGAAGAGACTGGACTGCCATTTGTCAGAAATGGTGTAGGGTCTCCTGCTTGGGTGGGCAGTTGGACTAGATGACCTACAAGGTCCCTTCCAACTCTGATTATCTGTTATCTGTTATTTGCAATAGTGTTGAAGGGAATGGGAAAATAATGCAGACTTGTACGCACTCCCTAAATTCAGCTCCCCAAAATGGAAAGTTAAATATAAGTTAAGAACAATAGCAAGTCCTAATCTTTTTATATTTCCTTTTTTTCAACTGAACAGAAAGTGAATTGTGTCCAGTTCAATGAGGAGGCCACTGTCATTCTTTCAGGTAAGAAATCTCCTTGCCTTCTATGTTGCTTCTTGATTGTTCATCGTAGCATTTATTTAGCATGGTTCTTTACTTTCCTGCAGGTTCCATTGACTCCAGTGTCCGTTGCTGGGATTGCCGCTCTCGCAGACCAGATCCAATCCAAATCTTGGATGAAGCCAAAGATGGCATCTCCAGTCTGAAAGTCTCAGACTATGAAATTCTTACAGGGTAAAGGAGGATAGGATGAAGTTTGAATTGGAAAAGGCAAATTTGGTGCTTTGCTAAATCCAGAATAGATTATTTTACAAAAGATGTTAAATATTCTCAACTTTTCCATGTCTGTTTTCATTTTTTTAAAATAACTTTTCCCCCTTTTGCAACAGAATCTAAAACCATCTGTCAATTTTTGCTAAAATATGAGAAGATGCATGAACATGTGTACAACTGTACTGGAAACTTTCGTAATTCCATAATCCAAACTCACTCATAGAAAGTCTTACGGGATAAGGAGATACATGTTTTGGTTTGAGAACAGATATTTTTGAAATAGGTGGTTTGCAACTTCAGGATCAGAGTATTCTCTTAACAATGCTGCTCTGTTGTTTCCCAGTTCTGTGGATGGACGTGTCCGACGTTATGATCTCCGTGCTGGAGAACTCTGTGCAGACTACATTGGAAGTAAGTTTCATATATGGGATATCCAATAATTTGAAGTGAGAACCATATTTTTGAACATGTCACTTTGTTGTGGGATATGATGCCTTTACTTGTCTTGTGCTTGACAAATAACTCATGTTTTTCTCATCTTCTGTTTGGTAGATTTCTATCAGCTTCAAACTGAAATGTGTCTGCAAGTACATCAATTGTATCTTCAGGCTAGCATCCACATTTGATGATTATGCACCATCAATTCATATAATCATTGTCACTGTAGACTCATAGATTTTCTCCATGATATATCCATATACTCTTAGACAATAGTTAGCAGTACTTGGCGTAATACCTGCAAGGCAATATACCTTCCTATTTTTTTTGAACAGGTTCTTTCCTTTTCATGCACATAGACCCTTGTATCCACTGCATGATGCAATAACATCCAACATTGCCATGTTTTCATTATAGGTCCCATTACCTGTGTATGTTTCAGCAAGGATGGGCAATGCACACTGGCTGCTAGCTTGGATTCTACACTGCGATTGCTGGACAAGGATACAGGCGAGCTACTAGGAGAGTAAGCAAATACTTTTCACTGTTAACTGTAATCAGGGGTGGGTTTCTACTGGTTCTGTCCACCTCTGTAGAACCGGTAGCTCTGAAGAGCAGCAGACATAGAACCGGTTCTATGCTGATGTTTTTGCCCACCCACCCACCCGGGCTCTTACCTGACCTTTATTTCCTGATTTTTCAACTTCAGCTGCCATGCGAGGCACAGCTGCAGTTAAAAAAACAGGAAAAGAGGGCTGTTTCAAAGGCTGCTTCTCTGCACACAGCGTGCTGATGATTTACAGGCACACGTGCGCAGCGTGCAGGGAAGCACATCATAAATCACCGAACCGGTAGTTAACCCTGTCGTATCCCACCCCTGACTGTAATGCTTCCTTTAGCTATTCCCAGTATAGAAGTATGAGTGCATGCTGAAGAGCAAGATGAAATTGCTTTAAATACACATAAATATTTTATACACATAAAGACATTTTCTTTAATGATAGAGTTTTAAAAAATTATTATCTAATAGATTTTAATGTATATAGTAAAGATCTATGGCTATGAATACGTTTGTGTCAAATTTTGTAATGGTGTCTTTTTAATTAACTTCTTATTCATCCAAGGATTGGTAGCAACTTCAGGCGACATGATGGGGAAACATCTTCCAAGATGGTCAGGAATAATCTTTTTTCCCCAATTGTATCTCCAGCTACACCGGCCACAAGAATGTAACTTACAAGGTGGACTGCTGCCTGAGCGAAAGAGACACACATATTGGGAGCTGCTCAGAAGATGGAAAAGTCTATTTCTGGGATCTGGTTGAGGTAAACAGGATTGGCTGAGAAAATCAAGGGCTTTCCTTTGTGGTAGTCATTTGACTTTTTAGTCAGCCAATCACTGGAGTGTAACCAAAATTTTACTTTGTTGGAAAAGCCAGGTTTTTTTCCTGGAAACAAAGCACGCCACACTTCTTTTCCCAGCACCTACTAATGATCAGAAGGAAAAAGACATCTAAATTGGGAACAGAAATAGTAGTTTTTACTGGTTTGTTTCATTTGATCTTACTTAGTGGTTTAAATAGATCTACTTACAGATTAATCAGGACAGTAGCAGTATCAACGCAAGTTTTTAAATCTTAAGAGGTAAATGACACTTGACATAAGTGATCCAGGTATTATATTTGAAGTTCATGAGTCAAGCATTTCTATGCAAGTTTATTTGGCTTGAAGCTAAGTGCCTGGCTTATATTTGTAAAAGGTTAACACTGTTTATTTCTCTTCTTGAGTTAGGTAGTATATCTTTCAATTCAGATTATCAAATATGGACAATTTCTTCTTAATAATATAAAATTACTGGCTTTGCTGGTGGTTTATCTGTCCTAATCCCTTGTCCAATTTTCTTCTCTAAGCTCGTGGGTTAATGAGAGGGTATTTGTCACAAGCAGTCCTGGAAGCAGGAGTGGGATTCAACCGGTGTTACTATCGGTTTGGTGACTATGTTTTGCTGCATGTGCATGTAAAAAACCTTAAGCTGTGCTGCCCAAACAGCTGAAAAGCGCTGCGTGCAGGTGTGCAGTGTTTGAAAAGCGCTGCGTGCAGGTGTGCAGTGTTTGAAAAGCCTCTTTTTTCCTGCTTTTTCAACCTCAGCTGTGCCCCGCAAAGCAGCTGAGGTTGAAAAAGCAGGAAATAAAGGACAGGTAAGAGCCTGGGCGGGCAGGTGGGCCAAACAGCAGCAAACATAGAACCAGTTCGGTGTCTGCTGCTCTTCAGAGCTACCGGTTCTTTAGAGCCGGGCAGAACTGGTAGCATCCCACCCCTGCCTGGAAGTCAGATTTTCTTCGTACCAGCCTATGTGGTGATGACAGTTGTGCAAATAATATATCTGTAGATAATCTCTGTCCTCTGTAGGTTTTGTGACCCATGTAGCTACATTTTGTCCTTTCCCCCCCCACCAGGGCTCCCTTGTTTTGGCCTTGCCAGTGTGCAATACTGCTGTCCAGTCACTGTCCTTCCACCCAGTTGAAACCTGCCTGCTCACTGCTGCAGGGGGTCTTGTTCAGTGTTGGAGGGAAGAATCTTACACATCTGAGGAAGGAGTGCCTACATGACTTTGTGGCTGCACTGAGCAAGACTGCAGATACAGGATGATGGACCTCTCTGATGCATTTCTCTTACAATTCTGTGAGTGCAGTTGTATGTACTTTGCTTTCAGGAGGAAGGATGGAGCATAATTTGGACTCTGCTTCTTCTGTAAAGCCAGCCTGACTGAATGCTGCCCTTGAGCTTTCAGTGCTCAAAGGTTTCCTTGCTTTAGGTGACAGTATTTTTAAATTCAGTCTATGTATTACAGACATTAGTCAAGTAAAACAGTTTATTTTCTAAAATTGTTTCTGGATTAGAAGGAAATAGAGTTTAAATGATATGTGGGCATTGTTTTATTGTACGTTTTTGTGGCTCAGATGCTTAAACTACATAAACACTAGCCCTGATTTTTCACTTGAACAAATACATTGAAATGATCACTGTAAAAAAATAAAGTAATATTGAAAAGAAAATATACATTTGCTTTCTTAGCCTGTTTAAAATGTTTACCTGTTTAAAATGACAGGAAAAATATTTTGATTGCTGATGGTTAGAAGTGGTCAGACCTTGTTGGTCACATCTGCTTGGTTAGTCAAATGCATGTCTTTTTAATTTTGCATCTGAATAGAAAAAAATGCCTTAATGTTACAGATGGTTAATGACAGATATTGAAGAAAATATTTTTAAAAGGCTGCTGTTATCCAGGAAAGTTCAAATGTTAACTTAAACTTTTAGGAAGCTCATCCTCTGACAGAAATATAGTATTTTTAAAATTGGATGTTTATGAGTTCAAAATTAAAAAGGTTCTATACTGTGTGTCAGTGTGGAATTCCATTCCCAGAAATGGAAGAGAATGGTATGAACAAATCAAGTTACTATTTTCCTGGGAGTATATTTACTGCCTTTGAATTCAAACAACTGAAGCCAGAATTGTATAGGTGCTAAATAAATAAAAATTCTCCTTCCAGAATTACTACATTCTAAGACTTGCACCAGATACGTATAAATAAGTAGAAACATATTTGTTATTGTGGGAATGTATCACATAGCATCCAGAGGTATCTTCTCCTGTGGCTACTTGCATTTAAAAGTATGTTTTAGCAGTCCACTCAGATGCTTAATTCGTTTAAACTATTGGGACATATTCAATATGCCTTTGAGAAGACAGATCTCTTTCCCTAGGTTCCCTCGGCATTAAAATATGTTGAATTTGGGTTTTTTCTGCTTTTGTTGTTCAGATCCAATATGCTTTTCTATAGAAATAAAAATGAAATTATAAGAAACAGATGTGTTCTTATTGAGGTGTTAAGATCTCATATTCATGCCACTCTCTGCTGCTCGAAAAGTAATTAGAAAAAACTGATTTTAAAGAAACCAGTCCACCAACTTAAGGTCAGTAAGGTATTTCTGTTTCGGTTATTGTGGTTGCTGTAATTAAAAAAGACCTCAAGTATCAAACATTCAGACTTCCTTAATTTCATGCCTTTGAAATCCATTGGATTTACAACCGTTACCATTCCCAGATAGCATAGCTAATCCAAAAGGCACCAATTGAGGAAAGCCAATAGGAATAAACCTGCAAAGTGCAAAAGTATACATTGCATCAACATTGCAACACTACTACATCTAGATACCTTAACAGAAAAATAAAATTTATACTCTTTACTCCTGATAAAATGATGAATAAAATGCAGCAATCAACTGTGGTTTTCTGGGTGAGAAAGAAAATTCTACTTTGTAGTTGTCTTTTTTCATAAATAACATTTTTTTTTCTTCTGTTCAATCATGTCCAAGATTGGACGCTGCCTAGAGAAGTCCCTGTATTTTCTTGACAAGGTTTGCCACTGCTTCTTTTCTAGGTCTGAATGAAAGTTACTAGGCAAAGGTCACTTTGCCTTTGTGTTTCAGGCAGGACTAGAACTCATAGTCTCTTGGGTTCTAGACAGATACCTTAACCTACACCAAACTGGCTCTCATAAAAATCAGACTACTGTGTAGAAAATATTAAATGCCCTCTAAAGCTGTTCTCTTGAATTTTTTTTAATATGGAGTATCTTTTCCAACTCTACATTTTTTTAAAATGGTTACTTGCTTAAATAAGCTTCATAGTTATGTAAGGAACCACCTTTGGGTTGCTCATATTCTACTTAATTTGTACAGCTAATGTCCTAGATTGGTTCTTATGAATCCTAGTAGACAGCTGAATAGAGGGATGGCATGACATCAGATTTTCTCAACTGAGCAATTTAGTCATTGCATAATATCCTGTGGGATCATGTGTTCTCCCATATTGTTTAAACTGACTTTACAGGTTTGGAAACCAAAACTGTCTTTTGCTGACTTAGTGCATGATACACGAAGGATTAGTTGGAATACAAGATAGTAGGTGTGGCAGGGACACCAGGCATTCAATTAATTTGAAATTATTCCCTCCATTGCATTGTCATGGTGGCAGAACTTCTATGTGGTTTGTTTTGGTGTCTCGGAGTAGTCAGATTAAGCAAAGAAATCGGGTGAAATCAACGCATTTAGTTTCTCATGTCAAGAAAATGGCAAAGAACAGTGATATAACTAGTAATCAGATGATGTCAGAGGGAGGAATCGTACCCATTCCTGGACTCTCGGAGCAGCATGGAGAACAGTGATATAACTAGTAATCAGTATCATCTGGAAGGACTGGATTCAGGTTATCTCAGTGCTTTGGCCCTCTAGTGCTGCACTATGACTCACATAATATAAGCTAATGACAAATGTGCTGAGGAGCAATGGGCCTTTTGAAGTCAACTTGACCAAGAGTCTCGTAACATGAAAACTAATTTCAGTCTAAGATTTTGTAGAGAGTAGAAAACCATACCTAATTCAGGTCCTTTAACCTTACTCTTCATTTAACGCCAGACAGATGAAGTAAACAAGAGCAAGAAAAGTATAGTTAATTATAAGGATATAGATCTTCTGTTTACACCTCCAGTAAATGCTATTTCCAGGCAGTTATTTTGATATGTACATGCTAAAAGCATTCAAAAGAATCCAAGATCATTGAAGAGATGAAGACAACAGAGTAGAAGCAAAGATTACAATGGTGGTGGTTTTAGTTTAGAACGGGAGCATCCAAACTTTGCAACTTTAAGTCCTGTAGACTTCAACTCCCAGAATTTCTCAGCCCATACAGCCATATCTGTTAGGATATGGCAGAAAATTGCTATTATTAGAAATTTATTTCAACCCTGAAATAGAAATTCCAGCACTGACAAAATTATCTAGTTTGGGTAATGAAATGTCTGCAAGAAAATAGGTCAAAGAACACCAAGGACCCACTCATAGAAATTCTTGTAGTATTTTCTACTTCCAGTGTGAAAAATGGCTCAGATAAACTTGAATAGTACTTTGATTTATGGAAAAATAGCAGTCGTCATTCTACACAGATAGCAATGATTTTAGATTGTTGGTTAACTAGAGTCCAGAGCATTAGGATTCCAGTACCAGTTCTGTCATTCTGTGCTAAGTCTTGCTATAGAGATAAATTTTAAAATGAATTAAATGCTTGATCTGTTAGAGTATTGAGAGAAAGAGAAGCAATGCATTTGTTTTTCAGAAGACGCCAGTTCAAAACCGTAGTTTCCTAATCAAGATATGTTCTTTCATCTGATAACCTATATGGTGTTTGAAACATCATAATACTATTTATCTTCTGCTGCTGTGCCAGCATTTCCCCACTTAGGATTTTGATATCAGCAATCAGCTGATTGCAATTGAAGCTGCCAAGCATTATAACAGCTGTAGGCTGAGGATGGATCGCAGAATATGCAGGCAGTTACATATGTTCATAAGCCTTCTAGGAATAAGGTTTGACAGAAACAATATATATTTTTTATTCAAAGACCCACATGAAGAAAACACTGGCTATTGAAAGATATGGATTAAGAAGCAAGCAAAGACTTCATGGATAAAAATAGATGAGTTTATTTCCTAATGTTTGCTTGGTGTCAGCTTTGGAAGCCATATTCCATGCTGCTACATGCCTGAGAAAGTGGGAGGGGAGGGGATTCAATTGAGTAGCTCTAAGTAGACAAAATTCTTTTGTTAATTCAAGGTCATTGAGTATGGCTCAAGATGAAATAAGGATTACTTTTGGACGGATTGTGATTGGGCCATGTGATGTGATGTCGGCCAAGAGGGGATGGATTTGTAGTTTGGGGAATTGTGAGAAGCCCAAAAACTTTCAGCTTTGGGATTCCACAGATGTGCCAGTTGCTGTTCTAATAAAAGTACTTTTGAGATATGCTTGTCTCAGAGTTACTAATTGGAATGAGGTTTTGCTGGAATGCTGACATTTGGATTGATTGGCTCAAAATATTTCTTCCTTTTGGGGAGAGAGAAAAATGCTGTTAAAGGCAGAACAGGATTTCAGGGGAAGATGGCACACTGAAGAAGTTTCAGCAAAAAAGTGGAACAGATGTTTGCAGTCATTTATAAGGAAATGATTAGTAGATCAGCTCCTATGATAAGAGAGATGTCTGATCACCCAAGTTGTTTCTCCTTATTGTTGCTCCTTACAAAGAGCCCGCAAGACAGCGAATTCTGAAGGAGGGGGAATTGGCGGATGTGGGAATTCACCTTAAGTACTGTAGCTGCAAATTGAGAGGTTCAAAGACACTAAGTTGGTGCACTTCCCTTGCTAACTATCTTTGAAAATTACTCATTAACTGGTTCAAGGAAGTTAGATGTCTTCAAAGTGACAAGGCTGGAAAAATCTGGTGAGAGCCTTCAATCTCTAATGTAAGAAAATGAAATTTATTTTTATAATTTTAAAGAATTTATCAACAAAAAAGACAATGTTTTGGCTACAGAAAGTTTTAAATGGACTAAAGGGCTCAGAAAATGTTGGAATGTTGGATCTTAAATATGAAGACTTCAAAATTATTTTTAAAGAAAAAATGTATGTTTATGAGAAATACTTTATTATGGCATTTAAGGATATCTTTGAGCAACTCCACTAGGAATTAATTAATTAATTTTGATTTGTCAATCGCTTGCAAGATAATAGGTATAGGTATATACATAGTTATGAATACATGAAATGGGTACATATAAGAAAAATAAAAGAAACAATAGGACAGGGACAGTAGGCATGTTGGTGCGCTTATGCACGGACCTCTTAGGAAAGGGGTGAGGTCAATAGTAGACAGTCTAAGGTTAAAGTTTTTGGGGTTTGGGGAAGAAACCACAGAGTCAGGTAGAGTATTCCAGACATTGAGCACTCTGTTGCTGAAGTCATATTTCCTGCAATCAAGTTTGGTGCGGTTAACCTTGAGTTTCTATCTATTGTGTGCTCTTGTGTTGTGATGGTTGAAGCTGAAGTATTCATTGACAGGTAAGTCATTGCAATGTATGATTTCATATACCATACTTAGATCAGACTGAAGATGGCATAATTCAAGGTTTTCTGGTTTAGAGTTTCAAGTCTGGTGGCATAAGGTATTCTACAAGGTGTAGAGGAGTGGAGAACTCTTCTTGTGAAATATTTCTGGACTTTCTCAATTGTGCTAATATCAGATACATAATGTTGGTTTCAGACTGATGAGCTGTATTTGAGTATTTGTCTAGCAAATGTTTTCTATGCTCTAGTTA